CCCCGGCACGGTGTATGGGAGCCCCTCGGTGCGGGGGGGGGGGGGAGGAGAAGCCCCTCTGCCCCCTCCTGCCAAGCAGCGTCTTCCTAAAGCGTTGGGGAAAACCAAGAGCTCTTGACAATTCTGCCCCCCCCCCTCCCCCCGGCTGCCATCACCCCGGGGGTCACCTCCACCCAGGGCTCAAGTGGGACGCAGGGCTCGCTGGGCATCCCACGGGTCCCCCCCGCACCCTGGGGCCAGCTCAGCCCCACAGAGACCGTGGGCCGGCCCCGGGGGTCCCAACACCCACAGCACCCCGTGGGGTCACCACGTTCCCCCCCCCCCGGAGCAAAGGGGGCTGCAAACCCATGGGGGTGAGTCCACATCAACCCCAGCCCTGCCGTAGCAGGATGGTTACAGGCACGTTTGGAAGCCAGATTTGGGATTTAGCAGAGCCCAGCCCCACAGGGATGCCCTGGCCCAAGGGGATTAAGGGATTGTAGGGCTCGGGGACCCGTGGGAGGGGAGCCCGTGGTTCCTGGAAAGGCAGCAAAGCCCTGGACCCTACAAGGGCACCGAGCGGAGCAGGACGAGCATTGGCTGAGCCAGGCGGGAGGGGGGCAGCTGGCAAAAAGGCAGGGAAAAGGTGACATCCTTGCTCGCCCGGCCAAAGGGGTGGCAGGGAGGGAGGGGGGCTGCAGCGGCACCCCCTGCTTGCCCTGTCCCACCACGGCCCTGGCTCGCTCTGCCCTCGGAGCCTGGGGACAGAGCGAGCCCCGTGTCCTATGTCCCCAACTCCAAGCCACATCCCCAGCAAGCGGAGAAAAGGCCCCGGGAAGCCCTTCCCCAGCCGGTGCTGGGGGGACCGGGAAGGGATGGGGGACCCCAGGGACACCGCCAGTCCTGCCATGCCCTGCAGCAATGGTCCCGCACCCCTGGCCCCACACCCTGGTGCCTGCTGAGCCCGGAGGCTTCATGCAGGGAAGGCGAGGCTGAGCTCTGGGGGATTTGGCTCTCTGGACCCCCTTGCTCACAGCCCCGCTGCTCCCCACAGCCGGGCAGGCCAGCGGGAGCCCGCAGAGACCTCTGTGCCATGCTTTCTTGCCATGACAGGAGACACGATGGAGCAAAATCAACTTGCCTGTGATGGGCTGTTTCCCAACGCAGAGATCCACTTGTGTTGCGGTTATTTGGCGCTTGGATTTGGCTCGGCTCCTTGGCCGGCCGTGGTGGGTCTGGTCCAGGGTCCCCGCTAAAACGTCGCATCCTGCTTTGCGCTTAAACCCCATGACTCTCCCTACAGCTCCTCTACCTGCAGCAGTGCAGCCAGGCCACCCACAGCATCCCAAAACTTTTACATTCACAATCCCCGGCATCTTGCCTGCAATCTCAGCAGGACCTGGAAGAGCATCTTGCTTGGGAGCACAGCTCCTTGGCCCCTGCACAGATCACTTGGGACAGGATGGGTCCATCTATGCTTCTGGCAGCAGACACAAATGAACAACCCCGCTGTGGCTCCCCAGATCCCCGGTGCCACCCTGTGCTCTGACAGCAGCGCGGATCACTCATCATCCCCAGCTCCAATCCCAAATAGGAGGCAGCACGCCTGTGTCATCTTCAAAATAAAACTTTATTCATTCGGTAACAAGAACATTGAATCTGCACATCAGTGCACAAGTTCACATTTAAAAACAGCTGAGCACATCAGTTCATAAAGTCTTTAGGGGGAAAGGGGACGATCCCAGCCACCAAGGAAGATCCAGGAGGGGCGGACAGAAGCGCTCCCCTCCCTGGTTTGCAACTCCACCACCACCCGCCCCCAAGGGCTCGTGCTCCAGCACACGGTGTGGCTGGACTGCCCGACCCCGGAGCGATCCCTACAAACCAGTGCACGGACATCACATCTCCGTAAAGGAAAAGAAAAGGCACTGGCACCTGCTTTTGTGCCAACAGAGATGTCTGCAGCACGGGCGGGCTGTTAGCACCTCTGGCAACGCTACCGGAGGGCAACCGAGAGCCCTCTGCCCAGCCCGGACCCCTCCTGTGCCAGGCCAGCGCCTGCCTCTGCCCCACGCCAGCAAGGGCTCCGGGGGTCCCTCCCTTAGGGAGAAGCATGGGGGTTTGCATGGAGCTAGGACCAGATTAAGGCAGGACACACCGTGATGGGAGCAGGGGA